TCCCCCCCCCCACCCCCCGCCCTGGGGGGGGGGGGGGGAGAGAAGGGGTTGGAAAAAGGGAAAGCTGGCTCCCCCATTATAGTCTTACTCAGCATAGGGGAAGGAGAGATGTATGCTGCTCCTCACTCCTTGATGCTGTCCTTACAAGGGAGGAGTCAAAGAGGAGGCACTGGACAGGAGCGGGGGGAGGGGGTAGCAGCCTCATGAGGGAGGGGGCTGTCCAAGGATAGGGAAATGGGGGTGGGGCAGGTCAGCGCTGGAGACTTGCCACTGCCAGTAAAGTTGCAGACAGCAGGGGCCCACCATGGCCCCGCAACAAAACCCTACGCCTACGCCCTCCTGAGCATGGAGTGGGCAACACAGCAGGAGGCCTATGCCATGGCCACCCTGCAGTTCCCCTTCCCCACTCACAACTGTGCCACCCCCCGCCCCTGACAGGCCCCCAAGACAGCTATGCCTGCTTCAGCCACCAGTGACTGATCAACAACTGTGCCACCCTCAATTGCTGCCAAGTGGCCCAAAGTTGTGCTGCTGCACCCCTACCCAGATCTGCCACCCCACAGCCTGTGTATCCCCTGCCCCTCACAGCGCCCCCCAGCCCGGCAGCCATACCACAGTCCCGACAGCTCCTCCCCCTCCAGTGGGTTCAGGTGCACCCCACCACCAGAGATGCACTACGAATTCTGTTCATTCCCTCGGGAGCACCTAGCACTGGCCACTGTCGGAAGACAGGATACTGGGCTAGATGGACCTTTGGTCTGACCCAGTGTGGACATTTTTATGTTCTTAAAAAAAAGTGGCACAGGGCCGACCTGAGCTGCAGGTACGTACCGTTGAGGTGCTGAAAACGCTTTCCGACGGAGACAGGCACTGAGTTAAGTGCCCTCGGAGGTGCCCACTAGCAGTGAAAACAAATCAAAAACCAAAAAAAAAAAGACGTGAGCAAGCCAGCAGCCAGATCAGGCAAATCAGGCTGCGGCACTGCAACAGTGCTGCTACTCCCCCACCCCCAGTAATCCAAACCACGCACCCCATTAACACCCAAACCACAAACCAACCCAGACACTCCCTCACCCCTACCTAGTGCCACAGTCCTGTCCTAGCCACGTGGGGAGTAGGCAGCCACCCAGCCAGCAGCCCAGCAAGCGCACACACAACCCCCCCCCCAAACCACTAGGGTGACCAGACAGCAAATGTGAAAAATCGGGACATGGGGTGGGAGGTAATAGGAGCCTATATAAGAAAAAGACCCCAAAATTGGGACTGTCCCTATAAAATCGGGACATCTGGTCACCCTACAAACCACAAACCAACTAAACACCCCCATCACCTAGTGCCACAGTCCTGTCCCAGCCACGTGGGGAGTCGGCAGCCAGCCGGCAGCCCAGCAAGCGCGGCGCTCACACACACACCCCTATACCACCCCGCGTCCCCGCCACGGTCCGTCCCAGGCAGCAGCTGCAGCCACGTGAAGAGAGTCGCGGGCACTGCTGCTGGTAAAGACACTTGGGACAGGCGGGGCGGGAGGGGGCGAAGGAGTTAAAGAATTTAGATTGCAGATTCCAGCTGCTGCTGCTGCTGCCCCCGCGGGCTCCGCCCCCCCAGCCAAACGGGACCATCTATTGGAAGAGAAGCCAGCGCCGCTGGTCAGGTAGGAGAGCCGCCCAATGGGAGCAGGCAGCCGCTGAACAAGCACCAATCAGGCGGCGCTGAAGGCGGAGGCCAGCCGGGCTGAAGTTTGGTTGAAGGGGGGAGTACAAAGACGAGTTTGAAAGGTGCGGATGGAATGTCTCTCGAGGCGGCGCGTGCGAGCGCGGCCAAGGGGAGCGATGCAGCTGGCGGGGTCTGGGGGAGCCAGCGCTTCAGAGCAGCGTCTCCTGTAAGAGCCATCGGGCAGCTCCGCAACTAGCTGGATTTTTGCATTGCGTAGGGAAAGGAACCGCTCTGCTGTTGAATTAAAACAAAATTATTATTTTTTTGGCATGGAAGGGTGAGGGCTTGCACCCTAGGCGGACGGCAGTGATCTGAAGCAAAAGCCAGGTCCGCAGCAGACGGAGGAGGATGTGTGAATGAATTGCCAGGTCCCCTTCGATCCTGCTTTGCAGAGACGGCTGCATTGCCCCTGGAAGACCAGACCATCGCTAGTTCTTCTGGCTCATTTGGTGTGTCTGCAGCGGAGATAGCGCATCGCCCCGCAGCGGGAGCTGCTGGCTAGAACCTGCCCCCGTGCGCTCTGCTGGCTGGGAAATCGCCCTGTGAGCTAGCGGGTGGCTCCGGCTCTCCAAAGGAGCCGATTGATTTGGTCCCCCCAGCTCCCCGGACACTCATGCTGAGTCTGCTGAAGGGAAAGCTCAGTGTATGTCCCCTCTGTAAAGGATACATCCACTCCTCCAGACCATTAGTGTACTGAGAGCCTAAAAACCATCCAATCCACGCTCCTCATTTGCTGCAGCGCTCTCCGCTGGGGCGAGGAGGGATTTTGATCATCTCTAGGACATGTTTTCTTTTTCTGTGCGACTAACCGCCAAAGATTGGTCCCAGCACCGCCCTCCCTCTGCCCTTCGTAGTTTGGTTCCGAGTCCGTTCAGATGGCCAACAAATGGTGGTTTGGCCAGGCACTAACCCCAGGTGGGAGTTGTCATCACTGATTCTCTTCTGCCTTCCACGCAGCAGCCCGCGCAGAAATGTGCTGGCTCGTCAGCACGCTTCTTGTAAGGTACCTTGGAGCGGGAGCCTTCGCTTCTCGTGCCGGGATAATTGTTTTGATCCAAGAGAGGATTTGCAGTTTTCCAATGCTAATAAAACTGAGTAGTCTGGGGCAGTGATTCTGGTTTATGGTGGGAGTTCAGGTGATTTTCCTCTCTCCTTCCCCAGCCCCCTTCCTGTGAAAGTTCCGTATAATTATTTAAACAAATGACCAGTTCCCTAGAGAATTGGGAGAGGAAATGACAGATTGGGGAGAACCCTCTAGGAAGCTACCCCTGGGATTCCAGGTATTTATGAGGCACTTGTAGCAAGCTCCAGGAGACCCCAGTTTGTAGAGGGGAGGGTGGTTGTTCACCGAATTGGCTGTGCTCTCCTGACAACTAGCAGGAATCTTGTATCACTGACAACCTGAGACTTTTGTGTGAACCAGGACTTTGCCAAAGAAGGAAGGATCTGCAGTTTTCGCTCCCCTTGCATTGTTCCCTTGACGCTAGGAGAAAGATGCTCAGAAGCTCAGGTCCCTCCTGGCTGTGAGTGGACTTTTTTTCTTTTCTTTGTGGCTTGTCCCCTTTCCCAACACACTTTTTGCTACAGGGCATGTCCCGGCCCAACAGTGTGAGCCCCCCGGGCTTCGGAGCCCCTGCACCTCGGGGAGGCACCGAGCAGCATCGATCCGCCTGGGGGGAAGCAGAGTCCAGGGCCAATGGCTATTCCTATCCCCTTGCCCCAAACAGGTCATCGAGCAAGAAGCCTTCTCGCATGGCGAGCAGGTGGAGGAGTGAGGAAGACTACGAGCCTCAGCCTAACAGGAACCAGGGGGAGAGCGGTTGCAGGATGATGAGTTTTAGATCCAAGTCGGCCTGGCAGGAGCACGGCGAAGATAGTCGCCACCAGCGCAGAGGGAATCCCACTTTTACCACCAGCCCTCGGCACTTTGGGGAACTGGGCGAGGTGCGGCCCCGGTCCGTGGAGCTGGGGCTGGAGGAGAAGCGGATCAAGGCCAAGATTGAGGAGCTGGAGGAGGAGGAAAGGGACTCCCAGGTGGCCTTCTCCATGGGCAGCTGCTGCGGCAGCCTGTTGCAGATCTTCAGGTCCAAGAAGTTCCAGTCGGAGAAGCTGGAGCGTCTCTACCAGCGCTACTTCTTCCGGCTCAACCAGAGCAGCCTCACCATGCTGATGGCCGTGCTGGTGCTGGTGTGCCTGGTCATGCTGATCTTCCACGTCGTGTACGGTCACTACAAGGTGCCCTACGTGGTGGTGCTCTCGCTGGCCATCCTGCTGGTGGTGGTGTTGTGCGTGCTGTGCAACCGCAACGACTTCCACCAGGACCACATGTGGCTGGTGTGCTACTCGGTCATCCTGGCCATCGTGGCCGTGCAAGTGGTGGGGGTGCTGCTGGTCTGGCCCAGGAGCGCCTCCGAGGGCATCTGGTGGACTGTCTTCTTCATCTACAGCATTTACACGCTGCTGCCAGTCAGGATGAGGGCTGCGGTCATCAGCGGGGTGGTCCTCTCAGCAATCCACCTGGCCATCTCCTTGAAGACCAACGCAGAGGACAAGTTCCTGTTAAAGCAGGTGAGGCAAGCTCTGGCTCTAAGCTCTGGTGGTTTTAGCTGGCAAAAGGGCTTAAATTTAGTTTTGTGGATCTGTTTGGTAGCTTGTTCTGGACACTGGTTTGTCTGCTACTAGATGGGAATTTGCCCTGGACGCTGACTAGTCAAATCATGGTCTGAGTGCTCACTGTTGCTTTTCAATAACTGCTTTAACCTTTTTCTTCCTTTTTTAATTTTTTTTTAATCTGGCTTACTAGCTTTAAGTAAGTGGCATTTTTAGCACAGAATGATCTTGACTAGCCCTGTGGATAGAGCCTTTCTGTTTTATTTAATGTCAACAGATCACCAGTGGAATAGTACTTGTGCTTGGTGCCCTGTGACTGAAAAATGGTGTGGAAAAGTCTTGGTGCTCTTATGGGGGGGGGGAGATCTGTGCTTGCCTGTAATTCTGTAAAATGTCAACAAAATGTACAACTTGGTTTCAGAGATGCGTGTTCCTTGACTCATGTAAATCAATGACCTAAAGAGAGGGGTTTGCTCTGTGAAATGTACAGTAAATGCCTAGAGGGTAAGGGGTAAAAATAGATTCCATATGTTGCCAGCAATAACCTTGTTTGTTTGTTTGTTTGTTTGTTTGTTTGTTGTTTTAAACAACCTTGCATTTTAAACTCTTATCTGTAGCTGTGGTAGAATGTTAACTACCAGTGAGTGGCTCAGCTCATTGAAACAATAAGACTCATAGAATGGGTCAGTGTGCAGTGTTTAGAAATTACCATATCTGTTTAGAGAACAGTAATACAAGGAACCTCTTCTCCTTTCCATGCGAAAGAAACAATATTGGGAGGCTGTTTGCTTAAGTTTAACAGACACATTGAAAATAGAAAACTATTGTTGTTTATCACTAAAGTTCTGAAAATCATTTTCATTTTGCAGTGCATTGCAGTCCCTCTTATAATAGGGGTTTTGAGTAGGATGTGTATATTAACTAAGGATTGATAATTAAGTATAAATCAGGTATTGGTAGCTTACCGTCTTCTCTTTTCCAGCACTATATTTTATGCCACACTTTGTTGTGGCTGACCAAGTATTATTACTTCTGACATCTTCCAGTATCCACCTTATCATGAGTATTCTAGAGAGAGACTTCTTCTGGGGCCTGAAATTAGACAAGGAAAACCTAATGGGATTGTGCCAGTGGTGCTCTATACAAATCCAAAATATCACATAAAATGCATTTTGTCCATAAAATAGAAACTAGGTAAGACGCTTAAACTGTACATAGTGTATTTTTATGTATTTGTAGCAGGACTTCCCTAATTATTACTCTAATCTACAAGTGTGACAACTACTAATTGGTGGTTTGTTTCTGTTTTCGTTTTTTTTCACTAACACACTCAAATATTCCTTGTTAGGGCCCTAATCCTGCAAGGACTTGTGCACAAGCTTAATTTTACAGACTGTGAGTAGTCCCATGTAAGTCAATGAGACTACTCGTGGTGCATAATTCGAAGCATATCTGAAAGTTTTTAGGCCTTGATCCTGCAAAGGCTTAACATCAAAGTGCTGTAGTGACATTTCCTCTGAAACCTTACAAAATTTATTAATAATACTTAAAATGTTGCATTTTCAAATTGCTGTTGAAAGTATTAAATCTTGTAACTAATAGTGAGGAAACTGTGTCTCAGAGGTAAAGTGGTTGGCCCAAGGTCACAGAGTTTGGAAGGGCTGGGATGATAATTCAGGCTCTCAGCCACTTTCTGTAACCACTAGACTGCCTGCCTTCTTTCTATTGCACCACACTTATTGGTAAAATGTGAAGTATTATCACAAATAAAACTACGCTTGTCAAAAGTAATAATGTGCTGCAATATCCCTACTCTCCAGGAGTGGCCCTAGCCATTTTGATTTTGTCCTGTTCCCCTCTCTCCTCCCGCCCCCTCCCCCCTCCCAACCTGCTGGCCAAACAGCAGAGCGCAAAAATAAAAAACAAAAAAAACAAGCAGTACAGCATCTCCAGGACGTTGGCACCCTTCTTACCCACCCTAGAACCAGCCCTGGTACTCTTTGGTAAGTCACAAATTTCTGCATCAACAGTTGATCTCCCAATTATTCTAATGTGAGGTTCTGCAATAGTTAAACAACATCACAGGATTTCTTTTAAACCTATTTTCAAAAATTAGTTCTCTGCATGATCTTCCTGTGGGGTTTGTTTTGTTTAATCCAGATTATGGGCTGGATCCTCAGCTGATGTGAATTGGCCTAACTCTATTGAAGTCAGTGAAGCTATTCCCTATTCTACCAGCTGAGGACCTGGCCTGCATTGTATTTGTTTGACATGTGATCTGTCCAATATTAAAATCTGTATCTACAAAGCCTATTGCCTCACAACTATTAGCAGGCCTTTCTGACCGAGTCTGTTGCGTGTTGCCATGGAAATCTCATTTTTGTTAGATTCTGCCCCACTGATGCATATAAGCCGCCCTCCTGTATTTCTCTTTCTCTTAAAGCCAAGATGGGCAGAGGTGGATGAAGGCCAGAAAAATCAAATGGCCTTTCCACTGTTATTAGTCATGATGTAACTGTTGAATTGGTCAGTAATTGAACTATGGCCATCAGACCAACTGGTCGTTCAGCCATATTTCTTATTCAAAGACCATTTAGAACTTTCATCCCTCTCCCTTTTCGTGGCACTTTGACCGTGATATGGCAACTACTTTCTTCCCTTCCTCTTTGGTTTGTGGGGTTGGTTATTTGTTTTTATTTTCTCCCAATTGTATCAGAGCTGGACAAAACAGGTACTCATGCAAACATTGCAGATTATCATAATAAGCGGATGTCTGACTAGGTCTGTTCTCACCTTCTGGGATAGGGGAATGTGGGGGTGAGGAATGGGAAGGAGAGGGCAGGATTGGACATGGCCACAGCCCGCTGCCCTCCTGCTAGGGTCTGCATCCCATGGGAAGAAGGGTGTAAATTTAGAGCATCCCTGTGGCTGTTGTGATACTGGAAGCCATGCCTGCCCCTGCCCCTTAATGTCCTTGGAATATAGGGAACACGAAAGTGTCCTAAACCACCTTTGCACACACTCTCCCCCGCCATGCTTTTCCTGTGCTCAGTGCAGGATGGACTGAGAATCATGGCTATTGTAATTCCTCCCTTTTAGAGCTGTGCTGCTCTTTAAAACATTTTTGGGAATCTAAAATTTAAGTGGCCACTGAATTGGGTCCTCCAACCTGAGATACCTTGGACCTGATTTTTGGATGCGTTGAGTGCTGGCAGCTCTAACTGTGGTCAACAAGAGCTGCAGGTACTCTGCACCCCTGTAGATAAGGTCAGACACCCAAAACTTAAGTAGAGGTCACTTGTAGAAATTTTGGCCTTCTTTAGCACCTGGTCAACTCTTCTTGACTGGGAGTGAGGGAGGAAAAAAAATGTGAATGTTTATTATGACTGACCATTCCCAGTTCAGGACTGCACTAGGTAAAAAGAGAAATAAACTAGTGTATGAGAGCATATTTCACATACAAAGTGCTCGGTGGAAGCAAAATATATTCCATGCATAATACTTCAGTCAAACTACAAATCTTAATTGCTTCTGTATTCCTTGTACACCTGCAACTAGTTAAAATTTACACATTTTTAAACCTGTTTAAAATGCAAAACCTTTATTTTTCCAATTTTATTCTTGAGTTATTTTGAGAATGTTTGATTTATAAATGTGATTCAGCGTACATACTGTATATCTTGTCTTGTGCTGAAATTTCCATGAGGTAGTGATACACTTCCGGACTATGAATAAATGAGATCAGCTTCAGAATTAACATATAAAGACTGTCAGTAAAAGACCCTTTTATGGTAACAAGACAGTCTAATACAGTACTTGTTCATTTGAAAAGAAACCTACTATTCTCACGTAATTGTTTTACATACATGGTAAAACTGATATTGTGGTTTATCTATATTACAGTAGATCCTCAAATGTGCAAATATTGAACAGACACCTAGGAAGACCACAGAGCTTACAATGTAAAGCTGTAACACTGAAAACAATTATATAAACTTCATGTATGCAAGTTGCCCCATTGACCTTAGTGGGGCTATTTGAGTGTATAAAGTTAAGATCAAGCCTATGTGTCAACCGGTTCAGGGGTTGAGAATCCAATTGATGCCAATGGACCATCTTTCAGTAGACTTTATTGGGCTTTGGAAAAAGAGAACCAAGAGTTGGGGATAGGGATGCAACATAACAGGCATTAACTAACAGTTAATTTAGGTTTAGGCTCTGTTTTACTGCCCAAACCTGTACCGTCACATTGATTTCTCAATAACATAGTTGAGGAAGGGCGCTTGTAGTTCATTAAATACTTCAGGCGACGCGAGGTCGTCCAGTTACAATGTATCAGAATAATAGATGACTAGGAAAGTTGTCTTACATAAATAACCTTGTGGAAAGTGGAACTGAAATTACAGTGCTCTTTTAAAGTAACATTTATTGTTAACCTTTCTCAAAAGAGTTCTAATAGCACTGTTCACAAACAGCTGCACCATCATGTGGCTCTCTTTTATAGCACTCTCTGATCCAAGCCTCCTGCAGCTAGACTCCTAGCTGTTCAGCCCCATCACAAACACCTCTGTCATAACAATACTGCTCTAATGATCCCCATGCCTGACTTCAGAGAACTGGGAACGTGTTGACCTTTCTCTCTATAGATTTGTATTAATGATACATTTTTGCTCTGCAGCTGAATGTTGGACCCTCACAAGAATGTAATATTCCATTCTCCTATTTCTACGTGGGTGTAGGTATACATACTTTTCTGTTTCTGTTTTCCTGAAATAGGCTGTTATTTTTAGCAAAGTTGAAGCAGCTCCTGCTCCTATTAGAACATCGGCTCATGTTACGAATAGCTCTTTAGCATCTCATCAAGATGCTTCTTATTGGATGTGATCTAATTAATGTTCAGTTAGTAGCAATAGCACAGTCTACACACCAGGAGAAATTACTATCTCTGTACTACGGCT